ATCACGTTACAATATAAATTAGGTATCACGTGCATCGCACGTGCACTTTACTAGTATATCAAATATTCGTATATCCTATATTATATTATATTTAATTACAATTTTTTATTAATATTGTAATTAAATATTTACAATTCATAAATTTATTAATAATATTGTCGAGTCAAATTTTATTCACAATTTTTTTTTTAAAAAAAAAAATATTTTCATTGATTTGCTTATGTTGAATTGAAAAAAAGTTATGTTTTTTAATTACATATAGGGAGGATATAAAATTTCTTATATTTTTTTATGTAGTATTTATTGAGTAATTGTGTTTACAATTTTTCTATTAAAAATATTTTGAAAACGTGAAATTTTTAGTTGCTATAATTTTTTTTTTTTTTTTCAGAAATCACTCATTATTTTATCCCAAGATTACCTATTAATATACCAATTGAGTTACATTTCTTACATATTAAATATTATATAATTAAAATATTTCTTGTTTTATATGTTCTTTTTTTTTTCCGGAACGATAGAAGGATCTATTAACTGAAAGAAACCAAGATACAAAGTACAGATACACAAAGAGCAACATGAGAGGCACATCAAAAGATGGCCTAGAGCCTCAACAACAACCAACCTGGAACAAAAGGAAAAAACAGAAAAACCAAAGGAATAGCAAATCAACCACTGCCTAAAAGCCTAGCCATATGCTAATCCAAGAAAACAAAAAAACAGAAACCCAAATTAAGAAGGACAAAACCAAAGATAGCTAAGCTGCAGCCTGGAAGTCCCTCCAATCAGACATTGCTGCTTGAATGACAATGTGAGGAGGGGGTATAGAGTGCTGAAAAATCCAGTGATTCCTAGTCTTCCAGAGCCACCAAAGAAGGTAAGTGGACAACTGGATCCTCTCCTAAGCCAAGTCTGAGTGATCAATGCTGCAAATGGCTTGCCACCATGATCTGAAGGAGTTTCTGAATTGAGAGAGGCCTGGCCATGAGACTGGGCATGATTCCAGACTGTACAAACTCTTGGGCATTGAAGGAGTGCATGCTCAACTGTTTCAGGAGCTTCTCCACAACATCTGCAAATCACATCAATGTCCAATCCTCTTTTATTCAAGTTAACAAGTACAGGTAAAGCTCCAGTTAGACATTTCCAGATGAAGATTTTAATTTTTGAGAGAACTTTCAGAGACCAAGTTCTTTTGAGAGTGAGGGACCAAGGATTAGGAGATGAGCTGCTTTCTGGCATATCCAAAGCTCTAACTTTCTGGGCAATCAAGGCAGCATATGTGTTGGCAACTGAAAATCTCCCTTTCTTGTTGTAACGCCCCGATTTTATTCAGTAGACGTCTCGAATTATTATTATTTTATGCATT